ACGCTGGAAAAACCTCGGTTAACAGTGATAACAGGTCTGTGTCATTTCGGGGTCATCGATACCTGCCATCGTGACTTCTAGCATAAATTGTGAAAATGTTATTTGTAATAAAGACAATTTGAACTTAATCAACTGTATCGTCTGCCTCCTACAACAATCCTAAGAAATCGGAAAGACATCGAAAATAAGTAAATTATAATGTTTACTTTTTCATTATCGTGTTTTTCATCATTGTCTTATTGATATCATTCTGATTAGTATATTGAGAATAAATATGTGAAATATATAATTATTTAATATAACAATTCTTATTAAAATATTTAGAATATTATAGATATGATTACTGGTCAAGGTCTTAAAGTTAAAACCCTAACAACATGGAAGAATCAACGAGACCAGACTTAAAATCTTAGTGCTTATTAATTTAATTATTAATTATACAGTCTCCCGAGATGTTTCATTAATCGTTAAACGAAATTCCTGACGATCAGAATCGGTTCGCGAAAGAAACAGTCGCGAACACAAATGGATAACCTTTTTTTTACGCGAAAATCGTCGTTCCGATAGCTCCTGTCTCGTCGATCGATCGCGTGTTCTTTTCACGAACGGAAAATCGCGCGATTCGGTGCTCCACTTTGCGCGTTAATGCCAGCCACACGGGTAAACCCTCCTCCGTGGTCAGACGAATCGTCGTGACTCAATTTAAATACGGCCAATTATTACGAAATGCTGACTTGGCGAACGTTAGTAGCAGCATAAACGGGCCGGAGACAGAGACGACGTTACCAGTGCGAAAGTATCGACATTATGCCGAGCATGAAGGGTAAGCGATTGAAAATTAACACGATCTTAATAACGACGAATCATTCGAGTCCGCTGTCAACTGAAATTTCAAGTTCTTTCAACTCATCATTCGTACTGTGATTCATTGTAACTCCATTGTAAAAGGTGTCTCATCAAGAACTTGACTTTTAAATAAATTAAAAGACACATTAATTTAATTATTTTTTTTACACTTTATTATTGATATCTTCAGAGTTATTAATGACATTAAATATGAAATAAAATGTCGGTTAAATGACCACCGTTGGTCTGGTGGCAGGTATGCATTCTTTCGACGAAATTTCGACTGACCATTTGACAGACCAAAATGGCGGGCGATTCGAAATTCAAATTCTCGCTGAGACACCCTTTATATAATTGAGAAATAGCGATCAGGAATAATTATTGTCGATTTTTTGAGCATTTGATCTATCAAAATCACTGAAAATTTTCATAGATCCTTTCGGCGAGGACGTGTCACTGCTTTACCCAGAGAACCACAATGGAAAGTATTATAGATTCCCAGGGGAACCGGAAACGCCGATAATAAAGGGCGTAGTGAACCAGCTGAGAAAATGGCCAACAGACTTGTTCTGCGCATTCTTGGCCGTCTGCTTAATAATCGCTAGCCTGGTCTTCTTGGTCCTCATCACGGTGGCTGTCTGCCTGCCCGCTGTCCTCGCTAACAGGTGTCGGTATGATTGAGAATCGCGACAACAGTTTCGATTCAGCACACTTTCTCGAGTTACAATATTCAGTTTGATTAAACAGAGTGACAAAAAACAAATGTATATTTACTTTTATACCTTGAATAAATCGGGATAAATTCAAGAAGTAATAATACACATTATAATAATATATAGCTACGAGTGCAATTTTAAACTTTTCCAGCATTAGATTTACAATGCATTAATCTATATACATGAAAATGAAAATTATACTGAATTTTGAATTTTGAAAATTATTATAATGAAGATTAAAATATGGACAATCGAATAAAACAAGCGTCTCTGAAGTACATTGTCAAATTCTGCATCTAGGACATTTCAAATTTTAATGCATTTATTTTTTTGTCACCCTGTAATTCGTCGACAACAATCTACACGTGTAAATTCCACGAGAACGTTGGTAGCAGAGCTCGTTTCGACGTTTCAGAATAGAAGACATTTCGATCACGGAGATCGAGACGTCGTCTAACGTTTATTTCTTCAAACTTGGGAATCGAGACTGGTCCACCAAGGAGTTTTGTTACATGGAGACCGCGGCACGCAGACATCCGGATTTAACCGTAAACACACAGACACACACTCAAAAAAGCAACAGAAATATCGTCGTGATTCACGACAATGATAATAATCGAAACGAATCCACGTGTAGGTTTATTTGATAAACTTACTGAAAGAGGAGCCTGTCGTGAAGAACAACGATCCAATTGGTAATAAAACGAGCCTGGAGACAAAGCTACATGGATCTTTTACGAATCCTTCGATGAACCTGACACCGGAAGAACGAATCAGGGAACGACTGAGAATCGAGAATGGGAATATAAAGAACGTTAATCTGTCGATCGAGAAGTTCTTCAGGGGGTGAGACGAACTTGCCTTTCTACTAGTGTAAAATGCCACGAAAAATTGGATGAAAGAGAAAACTGTTACATAGAATAATAAAATTACTGGGAGAATCTATTATACAGAGCGAACCACGAATCGTGATCAGTAGAGATTACTCTGTTATTAGCAGTCCGATCGTAAATGTTTTTACCAGGTACAGCATGGTTTCAAGAGAGCTATACACCTATAATTTTTTTACACCTATCTGTTAGAGGATTTCAAGACAAATTCGGTAAGTATCATAACATAACATCTGTCACTTTTATTTTTAATTGAATTTTTAAAAGAAAATTGAAGGTGACCTTGGAAAATCATAAAAAAAGGAGTTGACAAAGAATATGCTATAATTACGTTAAAGCTCTCTTGAAACCATGCTATACCTGATAAAAACATTTTCGATCGGACTGCTAATAACAGAGTAATCAGTTGAAGAAGAAATTAAGCTCGTTTTTATTCAGTTCAAAGCTATCTCGGATCGCGAGAAGTTTGTCCGACGAGGTCCTGGAAATGGCAGCGAAGGCGCAGCTTCTATGGAGTGTCCCTGGAATCGTTATCAAACCGAACATGTATTGCAGTTTAGATTCTGTGAAACGATTTCTTTGCAAGTGAGTGCAACAAGGGAAAATATATTGTTTTATATCCTTAACGAATCATACAATTTTATTTTTTTTTTGCTTTTCAGCCAGAAGAAGGAACACTGTCTACCGGACAAACTCGCGACGATCGAGCCGGAGAACGATATTCAAGCCACGGGGATCCCGTGTCAGGCTTTCATGGGATTTCTCGTGGAGGAAATATCGAGAAGCAAGTTCGATGGATCATACACGTTAAAAGAAGCTATCGAGAAATATTGTCCAAGGTGAGACACGATTATAAATTATGTTCGATTCTTCAGACGATCTATTCCTTCGAGTAACACGTCACTGCCATATACACGGCAGTGTTGTTACCTTCCGAAGAATCGAATCGGAAACGAACATCCCTATTATAAATAATTCAAATTGAAAGTTCAATAATTCGAGTTATACGTAAATACAAAATATGATCCGAAAAAATTGATGGAATATTTAACATCGTTTCAGATCATACTACTGCCCGGAATTACGGATTCTCGACAGGAGCATAAAGTGTCCCTTCGACTCGTTGGACTGTCCAACAGTTCACTCAAGCAATCTCACGCCGAACGATCCGAATTCCTACAACTTCGTCACGTGACAAATGACAGCCGAATACTTTATTACAAACTCTGTACATGTACATTATAAAATACGATTACGAATATTTTATAACTATTGTTTACCGAAACATGTGTTCCACATTACACCTCGTGCGTCCTCGAGTTATTTAAATGTTCTCTGCTCGTAGAGCCGGAGGACGCCCAACCATATCCAGATTTCACTGACTAAATCGGAATATGTACAATTAAAAGAAATATTTTCTGATTAAACGATTAGAAACCTACGTATCAAGAGTATCGATGCTGCCGCGTATGACGTGGCTAACGGTACTGGAAACTTGTTGAAAAACAGCCAAATCGCTACGACAGCTCCACTGATATCGTGCACCACATCGGCCAGGTAGAGGACTATCGATGGAAGGCTCCATCTTGGTTTTTTCTGTATCAACGATTCCTCAATATGTATCAATTTAAATTCCTGAATATTTTTTTCCCCCAAATATATCTTCCATACGAATATTTCTCAATATGTATCAAGAATTTAAATTCCTGAATATTTATTCTCCCCCAAATATATCTTTCATACGAATATTTCTCAATATGTATCAACAATTTGAATTCCTGAATATTTATTCTCCCCCAAATATATCTTTCATACGAATATTTCTCACCGACACGAGGGAATAAGCGAGCATTCCGGTCGCCAAGAAAGACACCAAAGAATATGGTGTCGAATAACCAAGACTCAATGTGATCACAGCCCTGTGCTTATACCCCTGAACGATCCGACCATTTTCCAGGACACTGAACTCACGTCGACCATGGAGGACGCTGTGATAACTCAACAACAGAACGCAGGTGGACAATAACAAAGCTTGACAAACACGTAGCACCTCCTTTTCGGAAATGTTCTTTCCCATGAGTTCCTCGTGTCTCGTAATCATGTCGGACGGATAACTGGTCGTAATTTTCTGATTCTGCGACGCTAGACAATTATCGTTTCCCTGAGGGGAAAAAAACCATCTTGAATAGCAAGAAATTCTTCGAATTTATAGATCATCACGCGTGGACTCACTGTCGTCGCACCTCGTTCCTCCAGGATCTCAATTTTCTCCGTATAATTATTCATCCTTGGAGCGGTTTTTTCTTACTGTTTTTTTTTTCTGGTTTTCATTTAAATTTAATAACCCGAAAAACGGCCCAAGACCCTGGTCCCTGAAGTGGGCGAGGAATCAGTGGATGTTTTTCTCGCCGTTATTCAAATTGTTCGCGGTGTTTGTAACACGACTCGTGATCGTTGATATTCGTAAATTTACAGTGTGCATATATATGTATGTTAATAATAACCTGCCAAGGGAAAAATTCCAGCGGAGGTTCCACCTGTTGTAAAAATGATCCGGGCTACGTGAACGACACGGGGGAGGTACTTGAAAAATGGCACGACGTCGGAAACGATCGTTGATCGCCAGTATGGCGTCGATCATCGGGAGCAGAAAAAATTCGGTGAGCGTCAAAATGTTTCACAAGCACGCACGTGTGTCCCCTTATGTGTGTGTGTGTGTGTGTTCGTTCACATGTCGCGTCGTTGTAACAAGTCACGGTATATTGTGTTTATGGGAATAAATCGCGAACGATCGCGAGAACGAGGTGCTTTCGTTGCGAAATCATCGAAAAACGTATTTAATACGAATAATTCAAATTAAAACGAATCACTTTTCCACGTCGCGACGTCAGCGATCGTGAATAAATATTGAACGAAATTCGACGAACAGTTTCGATTAACCTTAATTTCGATGAAATTTTCTAATGATCGTTTGGAACGTCGATGAACCATGAGATTCCGGGGTAGACGAAAATCTAGCGAACGTGGTGGATCCCTAGTTAGTTATTTCCACGAGATTTAGGTTCCAATTAACACCTTTGACTGTTCGAATACGTGAGAATTAAGGTTACAGTATCGAAAGGAATAATTTTAAATGAAGATCATCAAATTTAATTAGTACTTGATTTCGGAGAAAAAAATCTATTTCTAATCACGCACAGATTTGTACGGATACCGATCTAGCAGTCAAGGTGTTAATCGATAGAACGCGTGACGATAACGTTCCCGAATTCTTTTCAGCGACTTGGATACCTGGCGTGCAACCTGTGCGACCATTATATCATGGGGAACTCGATTTACGTCATCATGCTGGGCTTCATTGGGACCGTTAGTCGATCGTAATACTCGTTAATTGCTACTGCATAATTGATCGAATTCATGTCTCCGTAGTACAGTAACGTCTCGATGAATGCAACACACCTGGGTCCACTTCGGAGCATTGATGACAAGACGGAAAGGTTTTCAGCCTCTCATAAATTTGTTTTTTACCCGAAGCCGAGCTTCAGCTTAACTTCTGTTTACTCCGTTTTGATTGTTCCGTGTCGCATTCATCGAGGAATTACTGTACTTACTTTAGAAAAAAGTAGGTGAAAACGTTCATTCATGGATTTTACTGATTTTGCTCAATGAATAACAATTTCCATTCAATCCCTCACATCGTTTACTACGTATCGAAAAATCACTAAGATTACGTGAAGTCATTGTATTTCACTGGTTAGGTGATTACGGCTTTCGACATCATTCGAGTGATGAATAACAAGATTCACGATACGCAGCCATCCCAGTGCAAATCTAAAGAAACTGGTACGTTGTTTTATGTGCTAATAACGATTATATACTTTACATAAACCAAGAAATTCAATCGTTAAAAACCGTATGAATCTAAAACAAACCTAGGGGATACCCTAGGACCTATTCAACTTTTGCTCAAAATCACCCTAAAATTTGACTCGAACAATATTCCGTAATCATAGAACGCAATATATAACAAACCACTAATATTTAGTAGTTCCATTCATTAGTTCCCTTAGACGTAGAAAGAGACCTAAAACTGATGACTTCGATCCTGGGGATCGAACACTACACTCTAATAATGCTGGGTGCGATAACAGTAAGTCATTCCAGCAAGATCCTTTTTTGTAGATTCAACAATATGTTATGATATATATGTTTTCTAGGAATATCCTATGTTACACACTCCCTGGCTACTGATGCAACTATGTGTGATCATTGTCGAAGTGATCGTGTTCTGTGTTCGTGTGTTTCTCGATGGACTTCACGTGAAACGGGACGAGTTGTTGTTATCCTTTCTGACCGTGCACAATTGGCTTCAAGTGTTTTGTCTGTTTCACAAGCAGGTTCGACAGTCCCGTTAACGGACCACTTTCGCGAATCAATCGTGGAAATAAACATGCAACTCGTGTGACTAAAATTATTGTGAAACGTCCACCCGACACACCCTGTATATTTACGTGATAATAAACGATGACCACGGTACCGACGCGAAATTGCAGATTATGTTGTGTCTTCCTTTGTTTACTTACTATGATTATCAATATTAAAAACACGTGGACAAGTTAACCAAACAAAAAAAAAATCCAGAAAAAATGGCACTTAAATTGGAAAATAATCTCAGTCACTCTAACATACAAGACCGAACGGTAACTGTGGATGATAAGACATCAGTCTCCAAGGTATACCATGCATCATGCAGATTGTTATACCACCACTGGTATAGTGTTTCTAAAAAAACATGTATAGTCTCGCAACGTTATTATAGGTAGAGGCGCTGTACTTGGCTCTAATATGTTTCACGACACACTGTTTGAGTTCGATCGCTTTTGAAGCCGGAGGCCGAACTCCCCTAGGGAATACAATGACCAAATCGGCTGCCTTTAATGCTCTTTTCCGGCGAAGTTTCAGTAACGATACCTTAAATAACAAATTAGTTCAAAGCGTTTTTCATCCGAATTAAACGATTAATTCATCCCGCCTTTAAACATTACTCGATTCCACTCACTTTCTATCATAGTTTTTTTCAACAAATTTCAAATCGTTAATTATTAAATTTAAAACTAAGGTACGTTAACGTTTCCTTGAAAAAAGGTGTTCACTATACTGTTGACCTACTTTCCGTGACATAGCGCCAGACACAAACTATTTTATAATAGCACCTACTGAACTAGTTAAGCTTAATCCATACGTGCTCAGATTGTTGATGTCAAACATTCTCTTTCACCTATCTCGCACGAAAAGCCCTAAGCAAAGAATCACGTTGTTTGCAGATTTAAAGATCGTGGTACTCGTGACGAATGTAATCGTAGGGCTGATAACCACGGTGATGATGACTCTGGGCGATAAGTATGGTATACCTTATCTGTACATACCATGGCTAGTGAACACCATGAGGGGACTGGCCCTATGCGAAGGGCCGGCGATTTTTAATTTGATCACAGCACTTCTACCAAACATCACAATCCCAGCGGGAACGTTTATATTCATGACTTTCCTTTTATTCGGTACAAAGATCACGTTAAGTATTTTCTCGATAAGCAACAACAGTTTCACAGAGAAATAAAATCTGTCCTCGCAGTGGAAGAACTTTGCATCTGGAACAATGCGTTCGCGAACTTTCAACGTTGCTGGAGGAATTACAATTATCGGAAACAATGCGCCACAACGAGAATTAAAGAGAAATTGTACGCGACGCGTAAAACGAAGTTAATTTGCCAAGGGACCGTGGATAACGAATTGAACGTCGCGTTGGAAAAGTTGCAAACTGAACAAAGGCCCGACCAGCCCCTTTACAGATCTAACAGCCGAATCTCTGTTAAAAGCAACGCCGAAGGCAATAGTAATTTCGTTAAAGACGAATTAGCGGATGTAACTGGATAATTAACTTCTGAATACTCTGATTTTATTAAGTTTTCGATATATTTTAAAGAGAAACGTAAAATAAAACTTTGATTCCTTCTTTTATTCCAGTCCTATTATTTAAAGGAAGTAAAGGATAAAGTAAAAATTTTATGAAGATAACATAAAAGATTGACAGCCATTTTGATATCGTATTTCTATGATTCTTTGCACCGAATTTCAGGAATATAATAACGCATGCAATAAGACATAAGCAGTAAAGCACTCACCATTCGGTGCTCAGCTTCATTGTTGTTCATCCGGTGGCGAAAGAAGAATTGAGATGCCGAATAACAACTGCTTTCGTGTTGCTGGCTTCCAAACACGTCCATTTTTCAAACTGTGAACAGGTAGCAACGAACATTGTACTCTTTATCATTTTTTAGGGACAAAACATTAATTACGGGCTTAATGACTTATATTACCTATTAGACTTCGTCACGACGATTGTTTTTGTACACACGAATCCTTAGAACACTCACTTTTGCCACAGTTTTCCAACTGAAAAGACGGAGCCGAAATTTCAATGACTGTAAACGATTTGGCGGCAATAAAAATGGCTGCCGCACTTCGATAGTTCGAGAATTTGCAATAAATTTGAGCAGCCATTTTGTGAACTGATTCTCGTTATAGTTTTAGTATATTATTACTACTTATTATATCGATCTAATACCATCAATGCGTTTCTTTTTCCTTAATTAGGCTAATGAACATTTTTGAACCGTTATATTGTACAGGTTTTAAATACAATACGGGTTGCATGCTGCAACAGGCTACCACTGATACAATATCTTACATGCAAGATATTTTTGAGTATTCTTAATATCTACACTTGACATTTCAGTTACCCATTCTTTGAAGGTTAATAATTGATATGCCGATCATTCTTACCCATTTGCAACCAAGAATCCATTCAATTTCTTCAAAAAATCACGGTCCCGTGGACTACCTCCGCAACGAAAGTGCGCCAACCGCTAGAGAGAAGCTGCGCATAAATTCAAAATGTTACCAGTGCGCAGATTGCAAATATCGATGTACATATATCGATCTATCAAACTATTATAATATATACATTATTCATAAAACATTTTATAATCTCAGTATTATTGACTCATTTACGCCGTATTGTTTCCGGTATAATAACTGCAATCTTAGAAAGACATAAATTTCATCTATTATGTATTCTAAATTATACCTGACTAGTTCGATATATCGAAGTAACATGTGGCGAGAAAATGCAGCTTAGGGTCTATTCAAAATGACACTAATACGGCATTTATCATTTAAAAATTAACGGTACACACAGACATAAATGATTGTATTTAAAATATAGCTGTAGGATGCATTTGCTATAATAAATAATTATATTTAAATGGTTATATTTCTAAAATGAACGTATCCCGCCTTAAGGAAAGAAATGGCGGCAAAAGGAAAGCGCATGCGCGACAGATGTTTCGTTCACATCGATGCGTCCGCCTTGCTTCTGTGCGCTTGACGCTCACACAAGTTGTACGCGTGCCGGTAATAAACCGTTGTTTGGCATAACGGTCGTCCCGTTCGATCTCTTTGGCACTTTGTATATAAATTTTACGTTCTAACTACTAATCCAGACACCGTGATACACAAAACTATCCACATTAATCTCTGAAGAGTTAGTGAAAGTGTGTCTATCGATAAGAAAGCATCAAAGCCTCAGTTAATCCTATAAGTCAAAGGTAAGAACATATATTATCTTCATATTCCACGTAGAATACTACTCTTTAACTTTCGTAACGTTGGGTAGCATTATAAGAATTATAATGTTAAGGGGGATCAACATTTATCAGGTGCGTTAGATAAAATTGCTTTTGTTCGAACGGTTTTCACGGGGCAATACAACCCGTAATGCGCGGTTTATTTTTGTACGTACATTCTAGGGTGCCAACGAGTTTACACTTGTACCATCTTTGTTATTTACCACTACAAAAAAATATAATCTGTTTGAATCCATGAACAGACATGACGTGTTAGTACGTGCATGTGTATTGAATGTTATTGAACACAGCTATAGCATACCCGCGTATACACACATACACCTTGTAACAGCCGGTCACATGTTCCCCCCGGTATTCGCATGCGTCGTGTCGTTGTATATCACGCGTAACGTTGTGTGCGTGCGTTTACCCACTGAGATCCATATTTTTGTGAAATCCGTTTAAGAAACATAACCTCGAATTGATAAAGATTGCATTTTATAACCTCAATCGTAGAGCTTATAATAGACGCAATTCTGTTACATTGTTCGTGGTGAAGCTGTTTCATTTTCTCGTTTACAATTTAATATATTTAAAATCCAAGGAGATTTTTCTAACCAGAATCAATGAAATCGACGAACGAGCCATTATGCATCATAAGAACTATTTTGGTAGAATGATCAAACTATTAACAGTATAACATAAGACTTGGGTTATTCTTAAAAGTGATGGTAAATCCATGATATAGGCACTATCATCCTGTTGATTCATTTCCCAATGTTTTCATCCGTGTTACTTTGTAACAGAGATAAATAAAAGCATCCAAAAGTCAAGGGTATCTGTATTGATTATACATAGCTTGTTCTTTTTATTGCATTTATGATACATTAATTCTGATATAACAAATAACAATGGTCAGGTAAAAAATATGACAAGAAAATATTATCAGAAAAATGCGTTTCATTTAAATAAACACCCAGAGCAAAGTTTTGCCAGTACATCTGTGTTTTCTCTTGCTTTCTTCTTGTTGTACTAACAAAACTGAGACTCTGGGCATAATAGATGCTCCTGTTGGAAAGCATCATTATTTTCCTTAAATATTAATGGACGAATTGCGATTCACAATCCTTCTTATATATTTTTTGTTGGCATAAGTCCTCGTTTTTTTTTCGCTGTAACAAGTCGTAGCAAAAGCTAAGTTCTTCTTGCAGACACGTGTATCGTTGCTTACATTGGCTTGAACAGGTTTAATACTATACTATGCGTGTTACAAACATGCTTATCTCTCTAATTATAAGGCGATCAAATTACACTATAGGCATCTATATCGTATTATGCTCTGTATTTAAATTTCTCAAGCAAAATTTCAACAAATACCCCTTTGGCTTCTAAAACATTTCTTCAAATAAGTGTAATCTTCCATGAACTCAATAAGTTATGTATTGCAACTTTACAAACAAAAGAATGACTTGGACGAGCAGTAAAAACATGTTTAAATGGACAGACTATTTGATTTAACATTAATTGACCAATCCAAGTGTGAATCAAACCTCAGGTAAACATAGATTCTGTTCTGTACTGTACTAAATACTATAACACAATGCTTCTTCAGTCCAGAAAGCTTACTTTTCACCTACACACCGTCTCGTATCCATGCATCTGTACGTATTGTGCTTTCGTAGTAAAGATCCATATGAAAAGAAGATCTTTAAATTGCAAGAAATATCAGAGTACAATGCAAGAGCGACAAAAGACACACTGTAAATACTACAGAACTTGAAACTATGCAGAATTCAATGATTATAAAATTGAATATCTCAAAAATCTGTATGATATATAGACAAGAAAGGTCCGACGAGATCCTCTTCCTCATATAGCTCTTCACACAACCGTTTATGTTTCCCGTGTCAGTAGAGATATTACATGGTAAATTGTACAAAAACATTGCATTCAGAGTGATGGACAAAAATTGTGTTCCTTACTTGTCATGCCTTACACGAGTTCCTCCCCCAGGGGGTAGGTTCGATAAGGTAGACAAATAACACCGCGACGCGCATCACCTGGTTTCGTGTAAACGTGCAACGAAATTCGCCTTCGAGGTGGTCATTTTCAGTCGTCATTTCTGAAAAAATACTCTCAAAATTCGTTTCAATGTCTGACCCGATTTCACGACTACTTTCCTGGATTATCAATGTTCCCTCGTTACGCCCGAAACGTTACCAGTTCGGGCCGTCTAATTAACGACTTGGCCGTAATCATCAGGCTCCCTTTACAACTCTGCGGTTAATTAATCACCTGGTGTAATTAAAATTTCTCGTCACCGCCCCAAGCTGACGATGATCCACTTTTAAATCTAGAACATACAGAAGCTTCTTCCACCATCGATGTGACCTTGTTTCCCGTGGTGGACCGTTTTCCGTCCTCTCTCTTCGATGAAAGCAGAACGAAAGGGTCGTCGACATCGAAACACGCTATCATAACGGTTGGAAACGACTCTTTTAGACCTCGAAGGCCTCCCACTGCTACGCTATCATAGCTGCGATGGGGCTGAAACGCATGATTTTGCTGAGCAGTATCCACGCGACCGAGGCGAGGGCGCATAGGGTGACGCCACCCCATCCGAAATCCATGCTCCAAGAGCTGGTGAATCGTCTGGCTTTGAGGACATTACGGGGAGCTGGTCCACCGATCACACCATCCTCTGGACCGTCCAGTATCCTCGCCCCGCGATCCTGGGCCCTCTTGCAGTGAATTATCGTCAGGGTGAACATCGCAAACGTGGCTGCAACAATTTCCACCCTCTATATTAGAAGATAATCCTCATCCATGGAGAATCTTCCACAAACAGATTAGCCAAAACTTCTCGTACTGATTCCTATTTGTAACTATAAGCACATAATCCTTTTTAATCTTCGAGGTAAATATTACAGTTGGGACTCGAGTATTTGGCCACTCACTTCTGGGAAGATCCTCTATAATTCAGATAATAGACGGCAATAGGAGGAGCTCAACAGTAGAGAAAGACTTTTGGAGAAGTGCCTGAGAACGTCTTATCAGCGATAAGAGGTATTTGCTTTTCATGGCGCGGCCAGTGAGGCCACAAGTGACGAGAATGAATAAGAAAACACCGGTTTCTCTGATTGCCGAAAAGTTATCCAGGCCCTGTTCACTCATTTCAATTGAATTTGGAACAATTCACCCCCTCGAATATTTCAGTTGGATGCAATATTCAACAGGGACATGTAAATTGAACAGTTGCAGCTATTGATTTCTACTTGCTCCGTCTTATGTTATTTTCATCTAAAGTAATCATTCGAATAGTTTACACGGTTCTTGAATGTATTAGAACTCTGGAACAATGTCGCCCAACGACGAGTAAAATTTATAATAAAGTTCGTCAAGTTGCCACATCGTAAGGACAATATTCAGATTCCTTTGTCGCGACGAACCGCTTATTTTGCGGTTGACTTCCCGAGCATTCAGAAATCTTGCGGTCACCGAGCCAGTCGACCGCAGCTAGTTGTATCCGCAAACTTCGTTCGGTTAACACAATTATCGCAATCCACGTCATTTTTTTTTTTTTTTCAATCTGACGATTTAATTGATCGATCATGACGAACTCACCTGCCAAAAGGTACATCACCCCAGTGACGAGAACCGCCGATATTTGATGCCTGCACAATCCAAAAAATCCAATGATAACGGCGGTGCCCAGAATAATCAGGCAAACTAGAGAACAGGAGATACTCAAATTCTGCATCCCTAGAAAGAAAGAAAAAACGATGATCCATCATATATGGATTGCACTCCAATCGCATATTTTTCTAACTTCTACCCGCCACCGTTAGATCTGCTAATGTGTATCGTTCCAATGACACGAATCGTTTTGTACTACTCGATTCATAATCCTCGAAATGATAGACCCCGATCGAATGATTTCACAGAGGCTTAACGCGTTGATAGGAATCGATGAAACGTGAGAGTGGAGAGGAAAGAAACTGTCGATTTTACTCACGATTTTGCCAGGCGGCACGGATCTCCTCGTGGGCTTCGTCTGGCGTCAAGTAGTTAATGCATCTCTCTTGCGGAAAACCTACCTGACCCAGTAGTCGTATTTCCTCCTCTGAAACGCGAGAAGTAAAAGAGAAGTGGCAGTAGCCTGGCGCAGTTTTAATGCGGTTTCTTCTACCGCGAAACAAGAATTCACGGAGTTGCGCGTTTCCTCCCTTCTTTAACGCTTCAATATTAATTAAACGATCTTCATTTAGTCTCTCGTGCGTTCGATGTACAACGTGTCACGTTGTAACGAGGATGTTTAATTGGACATTTAATTTTCCGTTGAATTTTTCAGTCAGACGACACATTCTACTTAATATGGACGCGAATACAGAAGGATGAACTGTCTGTACGATAAATTATTCAACGAATAATTTATGAACCTGTAAATGCTTGATTGCTACATTTTATCGTCAGGCACCTTCCCTACTGGAAATTAAATTAACCCTTTAACATTGTATGACGAGTATACTCGTCACGTGAAAAAAATAATCCTTTGCTATAAAAATTAAAATTTTACTAAAAATTAACAAATACATTTCTTTCATTGGAATAAATGAATCAAATGGTTGTACATGTCCAAAGCGAAATTCCACCATTAAAGGACTAACAGAAGATTGCTTCTTCTTTTTTCTTTTAATCTATAACGAACTTCCGACTCAAATTGATATCGTCGATCGTGTGCGCAAAGAGGACCGATTTCCAGTCCGATACGCGTGGATTGGCCTTAATTCGATAATGAATTTTTATCGGTGTATAGGGGTCTCGTTCGACGGATAGTTTTACGTATGACCGATTAACATCGAGCCTGGAATTGCTCGAGCGTGCGAGATTCGATATCAAATCATCCTCCTCCCCCAAATACACACTCTATCGGCTCGTTGGAGAGGATGAACTTGAACGTGGATTTCCGTGAAATGTCGGGAAGACGAGCCGCGAGAGGGGAAAATGTTCGAGGCCGCGTGTGGGAAACTTCGGGAATTGAGTAATAATAAATCCCGATGCAGAAATAGATCGACCCAAGTTCACTGGGTCTAGGTTACTCTACTCGAAACTTTGCACGCTCGTTACCAAACTCTCGTATAACGCGCTTCGCTGCCCGAGATAATTAAACGTGAGGCATTGTTAATGATTGTCAAACATCTGATTGGATCGATAAGGCCGAAGTTTATCCGTGTGTATTGCGTACTAACCGTTTCCCGCGGTTACGCTTGTATTATTTTTATATCTCCTGAAGTTGAATTTTAAGAAATCACCGTATGTGATTTTTTTTTTTGAAGAACTTATTCTTTAAATTTCACGTCTCTAGCTTTAGTGGATTTAGAGATACGTTTATCCTGTGAGAAAACAATTTACCCCTTTTTCACCCCTGTAAGTCAGCTTTCGAATTAACAAACTTTTCTTCTTTATAATATTACTGCGGATAATATATGTGATTTTGAAGACAGTTCGGCGATCTTCTGGAGGGTATTCAAAAGAATATGATAAAATAGTCTTGGGGGCTAATTTTTAACCCTTGCGCTCGATTGTTCCCTCTGCAGGGGCAAAATGTATGGAGAATTAGGATATTCCCTGTCTAAAGGGTTAACGTTTTGGCTACCAATATTACCATAAATAGGATCAATTCCTGAACTTTCAGTGTCGTAGGTCGTCGAAAAGCTACAATATTAATCACCAAGCTAGTTCGCAGTTACAGGACTGTGCACAGTGGAACACGATTGAAATGTAAATTGCAAGCGCACCGTGGAAACCGGTCGGTAGTCAGAAAATTGCTTCGGGATTTATGTATCCAGAACTATTGGCTGATTTTCGTGGAAAGGTCGAAAGGCAGGGACATGTGCATGGTCTTGCTTGTACACGGCAATAATGTCGTGCTTGGCGTGACTGTGAGCCATCAGAGAAAGTTCCCGAAAAAAAAAAAGAAAGGAAAATTTAACAAATTATTCGCTCGCACGCGTCACTCCAGTTTCGCGAATGTTCACGAAGGTCAGGATTGAAAAGTCTTCCGTTTAATTGATATGTTACAGCTCCCCTACCACGCACATTTCTCATTCTTAAAATTTCTGGTATGTATAAAACACGTAGAATTTCTCACCAATTTGAAACAGTATGATACTGATTTCGTTCCATTTTTTCCTAATCTCATCATATTCTCTCAGCTTCTTTTTCAAAAACCATTCACATACAGATATTCCTCCGTGTCTCAGAAGTAGTTAAATGTGTGCAGATCATTCTTAAAAAATAGACAAATTCCTTCTGTGACTTCATGATCTATTCAGGTTTGGGACAGTGTAAGTCTAAGTTTAATAAGTTTCTTCCGCAATAACGTGGCCTAAGTATTGGAAAATTGCAACGAGGGTTGTGGCTCTCATTTTCCCGCAATTCCTCAACGAAGCGAGAAAATTAAAGGTTCAGGGCGTACGATCGACCTTGATTGCACGCCTACACACGTCTACAAAAGCGACACGATCCTATCGACTAATACCAGACGTCGTCCAGGAAGTCGTCAAACTTTCGGTCGCAGCGCTTTTTCAATTAAACGTTCGACAATAATGTCAGCCCCGCGACGAAAACCGCCGGGAAACGATTTCGTTATCCGCCACGTTGCAATTTTCGACGTTCCGCTTTCGCTTCGAATGAAATATATCTCTGAGAAAAAGACTCGACACCGAATTTCGCGATTCATGAGAACAACACGACGTTAACGAACGGATTCCCCGAGCGCGAGATAATCGAACAGCCTGATAATCAGGTTATCGGTTGGATCGAAACGTGTAATTATTTTCCGTCTCGATAACGACGCACAATTACTCTATTTGTTCTACTTTAAAAAGCATAAATATTATACGTGGTATCATATTTTTATTCCTTTCAGATATCGAATTGATGCACCAGTAAATATAGGATTATTATAAAATCATATGATAGACCACGTGCCAGTGAATGAACATTGTCTATACAAATGTGTAAATTAATTTGTTAAAATAAGGAAATTATTGAATATTGATTTTATTTAAATTCCTTATTTCATATTCAAACAGTTTTCAAACCGTTGATTAGGAATTGTCATTTACTTAATATTAGGTATAGATATTAAAAAACTTTCATGTGCCAAGTATTTATTAACCCTTCCTCGAACTATAAAGGCCGCAGTGGACCTCCCCAAATCTTTAAATTAAGGACGCTTTAATTCATTCATTGGTACAAGAAAAAGATTCTGTGATTGTTTTACAGCATAAAAAGCTCTTTTAATTATTTTTGAATCATTTTCTGAGTCGACTGCGTGTTACGTCGGAGAATACTCGATTATACGATAACTTGATTAGCCGAACGACTTCAGTTTCTGTCACGAGCAAACCCATAATTCCTGGAGCAGAGTGTAGGTATTCTCCTCGTCGGTGTCCACGCCCTTTTCGTATTTTTCCACAATTGACTTTGTCCCTCCCTTCGCTTTCACGCGAACTCCGGGGAAACGACGCAATTTTCCGACGGCGGAAAACTCGGATGTTTTCCGTGGATTTAATAAGATCTCAGGCAACGTCTTTCGCGATTCAACGAACATAAGGATACACCGCACTTGGCCACGGAAAACATCGCTATCCTTGTATCTTTACGCCGTGAAACTAACTTTTCATAATTCTCACGCTCTAAAGAACGAAAAAAAAAAAGCACGATGAACAATGCGTTGTTGCAATTAATCATAGAACGCGGACTTTAAATTTGATATTTATACACTTCAGTTCCACTCTGACATTTTGTTCATTTTAAAAAAAACACCGTCGCAATTAACGGCTGTAAATTAACGCGGACGGTTCGAAACACCGAGCAACATGCTGCTCCCGTCGTCATTAAAACTGTCTTTTGATGAGAAATATTTTAAAAAACGTACGATATTGCACAGTTTTTCGTTTGACGAGACTCGTATATTAGATGGCTGAATGTGTCACTAGAAGAGGAATTCAGATTCGGAATTATTTCCTCGGTGGTATCGCTGAATGATTAATTTCAAGTCGACAGACATACACGTAGAACTCAGGCTGTTCTGAAATTGCATTTTTTTTTTTTTAGCTTTTAAAGAAAATTAATTTTTATTTTGTAGTTTCTTTCTTCGCGTGTGGGTTATTATTGTTATTATTTAAATACTCGGTGAACACACAACTAAAATTATGAGTAAAGAATGCTTTTCATCAGACACCAATGATTTATATTATCGTTATTCCTTCACCACAGTTTTTATTCTAGATATTGAAGACTGTTCAAACACTATTTTCTTCTTCATTTTTTTTTTTTTATTGTAATAGCTAAATACGGTGTTTCTAAGGCACCATTTTATAGTTTACAAGGTAGGTTCCAAATATGTTAGAAATGTTATTAATTACATATTATGAATGTTCATGGCAGCATTTTATTGTAATATGAGTGGTACTACAAAGCACCGTCAGGAAATAAAGGGTTGAACCGTACCGCAGCGAAAGTGATCGGCACGAGCTTTCACCGAAGGAACATCCAAGATGTTCACGGTCACGGCATGCTCTAGGCAGACAGTGCCGTGTTTTCAGATCCTAATCGACTGGTCGATACCTTGGCCAGAGTCAAGGTGGTATCCACATATAGAAAGCCATTCGTACCACACCGTCAATTCAGATACATCGGAGCGATTACACGGGAAACGACTCACGCGTATACATATGTATATCATGGATTGAACCAGAACTTGAAATCGATTTTCCATGAATGTCATTGACGAACCTTCTTTATACCCAAATCATAGCATTATCATAATATTGTACAAAATTCCTGACTCGTCACAAATGGATCGTTCAATCATCCTTCTATATCTTGATCCCCAACTAAATTTATTTTCTTCTCTATACCCACATCACAGTATTATCATAACATTATACAGAATTCGGTAACAAATACAATAAATCGTTCGTTTGATCTTCCTCGGATATCTTGCCCCACTAAACTTATTTCCATCGATAAGTTACTAATTATCCATACAACATGACGGCGAAAGCATTAACTATGAATGAAGGTTCCCAAGCATAACAATTCCTCATATTTCTTTTTGGAAAAGACAACAATTTATTACAAAAACTAGCCCAGGGCGTTGGATGGCTATTACACCCGACATTACCCGGTAGAATATAAACCGCAAGAAAATTGCGTTTCATGTAGGTCAATGTGGTGCTGCTACGATGAAGGTTCTACGTAAATCTTCTTCATCCACTTACCCGTTAGGGAGACGCACATGATCCAAATTCCCCCGTACATCGGCACGAGGAAGGTCGGTCGTCTTCCGGGATGATGGCCTCTGTGGCCAGAAGTCGAGCCCAACATCGCCACTTGACCGTCCAAGTACCACGTGAGGGTAACATTCGCGTGGTTCAGAATCTCCTTATCCCAGCCGACTTCCTCCCAGTGGTCCGACATTATGGCGCCGCACAACAGCCCGGTCGCTGGGACAGAAAATAGACGGGAATCTTCCGTAGAAATTCTGACGTTCAACCAAGAAAATGCTGTGTATTCACATTCGTCACACATCCCCCTTTTGTATCCGAGTGGCCTCGTTATTTTAAATCTCTGCAAGACGATCGACCCACCCCCCGTTGGGCGATATACATGATAATGGAACGGTATCGAAGGAGTTTGACGTAATCCTCGAGTGGCCTTCCGAAGTGCTCGATTTCCAAAGGATTCTTCTCCTCGAGGAACACGACGAACTCTGGGAAAATTATCCGAAAATCTCGTGCTACCAAGTGAAAGGTACCTGAGGATCTTGGAGAACAGGGGTTGGATTTGCGAGTTATCTGTGGTGAATACAGCGAATTTTGTCTGGTTACACTATATAAATCTTGGTAGACTTGGTAACCTGGGGCTGTAGATCGTCTCTGATTTTTAAAAGGAATTTCACTGAGATCTTCGAATTCATCGTGATTTTTCGGATCCTGATTGTTTAAATGATTTTCACTAAGATATAAATCTATCATTTAACAATTCGACTGAATTAGACACCGAAACTTTACACCTCGAAAATACTTAAAAGATTCATAAAAACAGATTTTCCATTTTACTATTCAAACCTGACACAACTTTGGCATTAACCTAAGTGATAATCAAAGAAAAAGGATCCCCGCAATATGTCCAACAACGTCTAAACACGAGGCCCAGTGCCTCGTAAACATCGTGTCTGACCACAGACCGGCTTATACTACTGGATCCTTAATAGAGACACTGTTTCTCTTCGCAACAAGTTATCCAGCTGGCAAAAAGATTGCAATTCCACCGTCTCTTCCGAGTAATCCCATTAGGATGGAGATTAAAAGGAAGTTTTTTCCCTGGGCGACGATTCGTCGATAGAAACGACCGACGATAAAGGAGAATGTTCCCTCGTTTAATACTTTCCGCGAGGACATTCCCGATAAGAGAGTTCCAAGCGTCACTGGCACTATGTGTGTCTGTACGTCATAGGATATTTTATTGCATAAGAAATCTAGTCGGTGGGAAAGTGCCCTCGAGCACGATGGACCGTTAGAAGGCACTTGTTTCGAGTGACCAACATCCCCCCCCCATTGGTGTGAAAAAGTGTACGATGCAAGGAAGTTCAACCGGTGGTTGTTGACCGTGTTGAACTTTCCAGTCGATATAGAGCTAATGAGGGCTCGCTATAAAACGAACAAGAAACTCGATCAAATTCTTCGAAAGATCATTTGAAACTATATCGCAATATTTCCTAACCTTTTTTGGATTATGCTCCACCTCAACGCCTAAAAGATCTCTGGCCCCCGAGCATAATAGTAATGTTCTGAAAAAGTTTCACATTAATAGCTGCTTCAAACAGAAAATGCACATAGGTAAAACTGCTTTTTAATTTGACTTTTTTTAATATAGAATTTATGGTTTATGTTAACAAACAATTCGGAAATACTCCAGGGTTTTTAATGTCCAGACGATTTCGTTTTTTTCAGTAACAAGTTATTTACAACACTAAGGCCACGTTTAACTAAACGATGGGTAGAACAACAGTAATTTTTTTGCAAGATTAATAGTTAATTGTCCCCCAAAATATAATATTCATAGTACATCCCATGTTGGGAAACACTGCGATATAGGAAGCAAGACGATGTTTAGCTGCATTTTTTTGTAGATCGTTGGTTGTATCGTGGCTTGATTGTTCGCGTCAGATGGCTCGATTAGCTGGAAGCGACGAAGGTTGCTGAATGCAAAGCCATCCCGAGGATAGATCTTATCCACTTGTAGGCGCGATCAGAGTGTCGTTTATCACGATGAATCGTTTGAAAGTATAACGGTTGGAAATAGTGTCACGGAAGCTTGTTCACATTTTGCTTGTGGAAATACGTCCAGATCCAAACTGGATTTTATAGCCCCCGTTTGATCTACGATCCAAGGAAATTTATGAACTCGCTATAGTTGTACGATCAGGAAGCATCGTTCTCCACGTGCTCGCCTCGGAGCATCGATTGTCGGCTGTCATCCGTTTTCTGGATGCCTCGAATAGAGGAAATTAATCGGCAGACCGTATGGAATGGGCATCGATTGTCTGTTAACACGTCGATGCAGAACTCTGCATACTTGGAGCCCCTGTTTATTGACAGGTTACCCTTATTCACCATGATCTGTTCCGACGACAACCGAAATAAAACTGTTCGTGTCTACTTTTTACAGAAGAGGTTTCAATATCTCTCGAAGTTTCATGATCCCCTGAGGCTTTTCCCTTTCAAAACACAGACGAGGATCCTCTGATCAGGTGTTTTCAGGCATCAAAGAATTTTATGTATTCGAACCAACTCGATGAAAAGGAAACTCTATTTTCGTCAATGTAAAAAATTTACAAACACCGAATACAGTCCATTCACCTTCTCAACTTCTTCAGGACTTCCCTCCACAAAGATCACACACAAAAGAGCAATCCTTTCGATCAGCTGATCGGCAACCAAGCCACAGCACACAATCGGTAACAAAAGACTGAATTCTAAGAAAACCACCCCTAATCTACCACATCATTCTACCCACACTGAATCACTCTGTCATTTATTACGTAAGATTCTTTAGTAAATCGAACGCCGGTCGATCGACAAATCAACGATACCAAAACAAAAACAACAGAAGCAACGCAAGCCACTCCAAAGTCTCGTCTTCTGAATGGTTTAAATGAAGGGGGAGGGAAACGATGATGAGGATTACCTGCGAAAGTAAGAGCAAGCGTGCCAACGAGGAAAACAAGACGTGGACCAGGGGCCCTGGGTACACGGGTAGGCTCCATCCTAGCAGGTGGTGCCCAGGGCGACCGCTGGCGACCCACTGGAGGAAAACCACCGCACACCGCACCGACAACCGCCGGTTACGCACTGGCCGAACCGACACCCCCGAAGAGTCTGTTTTTCGGCGAACGTCTCTCTCTCTCTCCCCGCTACGACGACTACGATGAAGAGGAGGGAGGAAGAACGACCAGGACGCCCTCTCCGTTCTGCGTCGAAGCGCACGAAAATCGACCGAGTTTGCCACCCCCAACCCGCGACCACCCCACCCGGATGCTGCGGACAACCTATTTTCCGCCTCCTCCGCGAAGCCCTTTTCCACGTCCCTCACTTTTCTTCCCACTGGGCCCCACCTCTTCGTCTTGCCCACACGTTTCTTCATCGGGTTATCGTCTCCGGTTGCCCTTTCACCGTCCACTTTCCTAAAGCATCTCTTGTTTGGAAATGATCAAAAAAGTTTCACTACTTCCCTTATGTAACGGCCAAGAAATCGTTCCTATTGTTTATCTGTATCCAATTGTTTCCCTTGCGGAAATATTAACCAGACAGGCATATACATTACTCGTTCGTTATATCTGAAATCTGTAGTCCGAGCTACTGAGACCTTTAGAGCTCTCCACATTTCATTAAATCAACGCTCTGACGTTAACTTGCCGCATTCAGGTAGAGGTGCATTGCGTTAGGTGAAATCCACGTGGAAAATATAACACGTATCGCCGGTGGGCGGAATATTTCGTACGGGAATTAATTGCGTGACGACATTAAAATGTATATGGTATTCTGGTGGGTGGATGAAAAGGAGTCCCCTTTTATTTCACTGAGAAATGGACACTCCTCGTGCATCCTTTCCAAAACCATGTCGAATCTGCTGGTTGTAGAGACTCTAATATGTAGCAGTTAAACATCTCTATGAAATAATAGCAGATTCAGTCCAAGATAATTGAGGATAACAAGTAGCCAAAGGAAGTATTAACCCTACTCTTCTCAAGTCTGTAGGGGAAAGTTACTGAATTTAGACCATCGCTTAGGTTGGACTTATAGGTACTAAATTAGTTAATACAGTCATCACTATCATACACATATGGTCCATCACAAGGCCCAAATTGGTTACACATGACAAGTTACAAAATTCCTCTATAACCGGAAATGAAGAATATATATCAATATGTATCACATTTTTAAATATTTCTTAGTACCCAACGTACTTAAATTTCACGTCTACTTTCTATTTCCGATTTCTAAAGAACAAACAACTGTAAAGCTTGAAATAATATTTGATTCGAACACAAACTTGAAGAGCAAATAAGTAGAACAGCAAGTTTAACACAGAAGTCCTTTGATAAACTCCCACGGTGGTAGAGAAACGATACAGAACCTGCCCCTGTAACAATAACATTTTCGTTGTTGTATAGATGGCCGACGTCGCTGAGAGTGCAGCATTCACCGACCCGGCAACTGCTATCTCCCATGGGAAACGGCACCTGTTAGTACGGGATTACACCATGGCTGTGACCGCGTTAGCGCAAGCCTGCCAGCTGCTCGCGGAAAAACACGGGGACACCGCGGACGAGCTTGGCGAACCATACCTTCTCTACGGTCGTGCCCTTCTTGGTCTGGCCAGGGAGGAAGCAGGAGTCTTGGGCGGCGGTGTACCAGGGTCCGAGGAGGTGGAAAAGGACGAGGACGAAGACGAGGAGGAAGGGGACGACGAGAAACTGAGCAGCGTGGAGGAGAAAGAAGAGGACGAAGAGGACGAAGACGAGAAAGAAGAAGACGAAGACGAGGCAGAAGCAAAAGAGGAAACCGCCTCTGAGACCAAAGCTGAGAAATCGAAAACAGAGGAGCCTGCCAAACCGGAAGCAAAGGAACCAACCAAAACGGAAACGAAAGAACCAACGAAATCAGAGGTAAAAGAATCAACAAAAACAGAGGTAAAGGAACCAACGAAATCAGAGGTAAAAGAATCAACAAAAACAGAGGTAAAGGAAGAAACGAAACCGGAAGCAGAGAAGAAAGATGAGAAGGAAGAGTCAGGCAAGTCGGATTCGAACAAGACCGACGACAGCAAACTAGCGGAGCAGAAACAAAAGGAGGAGGAAAAGGCTGCGGCTGGATCCAGCAAGGAAACGAATCACGCTAATGGCACGTCCTCCTCCACTGAACAGAACGGAGAGTTGAAGAAGAACGGGGATGATGGTTCGCAGGATATTGAAAAGGAAGACGAAGAGGATGAAGTCAATAACTTACAGGTATAGATTCTTTGCTTCGAGAGACAAGATTTCTTCTTAGATTCTTGTGTCTACAGGTCTTGTCGTTATACTTTTTTTGTATTGTAAAGTCAGTCGCGAATTGCTAGTTAAACGGGTGATTTAATCGTATGGTCCTAAGGAAGTTTGCGTAATATACATTTCACCTTCAATTATAGGTAGCCTGGGAAGTTCTGGAGTTGGCGAAGCTGGTACTACTGAAGCGTGGAGAACCCGGTTGGAAGCTCTTAGCCGATGCTTATCGGCTGCTGGGCGAAGTAGCCATGGAGGGAGGGAATTTCCAAGGCGCTCTAAACGATCTGAACAAGTGTCTGAAGCTTCTGCAACAAATCGAACCACGTGAACCGAGGGCGATCGCAGAGATCCACTATCAGCTCGCGTTGGCGCATTCGTTGGGGAACGAGTTCGACTCCAGCATAGAGGAATTTAACAAAGCTACCGAGTTATTAGAGGCTCGTATTAAAGAGTTAGAGGAGATAAAGGAACCTCCAAAAACTGAAGATTCGTTCTACACCGTTGAAGGAGAGATCCAGGAACTGAAAGAATTGCTTCCGGAGATCAGAGAAAAGATCTCAGATATGAAAGATTTCAAGCAGGAAGCTTGCAAGTTGGTGATAGAAGGTATTAAGAGCAAAGTGGCTGGAGGATGTTCGAATGGAGCCGGTCCAAGCGGCAGTGATATGTCCACGCCGAAAGTTCAGAAACCAGCCAGCGATATATCTCATTTGGTGCGCAAGAAGCGGAAAGGCGATGAGCCAGATACCGAGGTCGCGTCGCCGAGCAAAAAGCCAACGCCAGAAAAGGCTGTCTGAAGACTAGTTCGGTGCATTTTGGGACACTCTTGACCGTTGCTTTGTTTCGCGGGGTGATCTATTAAAAACAAAAAGAACTGTACCACACTCTGGAATTTTAAGGGTTGGACCAAGATAGGGTTAAATACTGTATCGAGCAAAAGGGAACGATTCGACAGCGCGTGAATGATATTTTAACAAAAGCAGACTCGGAATCGCTCGCACGACTCTTCGTTTCTTTTTCCGTTTGATTCAATGATTGTACTCGCTATTGTGTTTTGTTTCATTTGTTCATCGACAATTCGTTTATTTATTTGTATCTAGTGAATGTCTCGACATTGAACGCGAGCTTGATTATGATGTCGTAAATTCATTTTAACCTCTTCTTTTCTTAGGACATAAACATCAAGGAGTAAGGTTGTTCTTGTATAAATCTGATTAATAAACGTTAAATGATGGTTTTTTCTAAATGTTCAAAACACACTCGCCTTGGTTTCTATCACGCAAATTATACATATTATATTTTTCAAGTTACAATATTGTACAAATCTATTGGAATAGTTAACAGTACCATAAGTCTAACGACTGTCACAATTCTGGACGGATTGTTAATTAAACACACTGTATATAGTATCAGTGAAGCTTTCCTTAATCACAAAGTTACTGAAGTAACTAGGACTTGATCGTAAATCTTTATTAAATAACAGCTCTAGTTACTTTATTCATTCCGATTACGCTGTGATTAAGGGAAGCTTAGAACCTCGAACATACAATGTCCACTTCGTCTTCCCAATTCATTCCCAATTCATTCCCCTAACAGTTCTTCAATATCATCCTCCCTATCAGAGCTTTCTTGTCTCTGAATCTTCATTTTATAACCAAGCGCCTCCAACACAGTCGCATTGTAATAATAATTCAAATTAATTCCAGGTACTAAACGCTGTAACTCCTCTATAGTGGCGCGTGCTTTGCCGGTGTCGCCTATATTAATATAATGCTGCGTGATAGTTGCGAACAGGTCACCACGTCGTACAGACTGCTCCAAATCAGAACCCTGTGAATCGAGCAACTGACGCACCTGTTGCATTGCTGTCGCCGTATCACCTCTATCGAACAACCTGTAACCATATTTTATAATGTCTCATTTATCCGTCATTTGTAAATTCTTCTAAACAGCTAAAATTTATTACACAAATTTAATTATTACAATTTGTACAACTAACTTTTTAATGTCCAGGTAACGTCTAATTGTCGCTATTCTATTGTTCACCAGGTCAACGGCCCTTTTGTGAATATTCGGATCCCTCGGAGTGGTTACTTTCACCAGACACCTGCTGGCCTGGTTCAAAGCATCCAAAGCCTTCTCATAATTCTGAAATTCATCTACCTCCACTTGGGCGCAAGCGACATAGAAGTTCGCCAACAGATCCATCGCTTTCCCTTTCGAGTAAAAGTTGATAATATTTTTTAGTACTTCCGGTTGATTCTGCCAATCCAGCGATTGCAAATAATTGCCGGCCATGATGTAGATCTCCCTCTGCCTAGAAACTTGAGCGAAGAAACAGATCTTTTCGGTGTCGCCAGATTTTAGTAACGCTTTCATGGCTCTTAGTTTGTTGCCAGCCTGAGTAAATTTCTTTGTGGCCAAGTGGTAGTTCCCTTGCTCGAACGCGGTTTCGCCAATTCTTTCCAATATAGAGATACGAATCTTCTCGTGTTCTGCATCGTTATCGATCTTGTCCAGTGTCATCTTCTCAGCTAGATCTTCAGTCAACAATATATTATGATTTTGCATTAATTCCAAAGCCTCGATGTACTTTCTTCCCGTGGCAAGTAAGTCCACCGCCTTTTCAATTTGATCGTTTTGCACAAAATAATCGGCGCATTTTTCTATCAAAGCAGGATCAGAGTCTGCATTAACGTCCATGATGATCAGCTGCAAAGCACTGTACTGTTTCGTCTTAAACGCAATGTCCAGGGCCTTGTGCAGTAGACCAGCTTTATGATACAACAAAACTGCTTTGTCCGGCTGGTTATTTTCTTCGTAATATTTTGCAACATCTATCTGTGACTGCCTTGATGCCAATGTAGCTAGAGGCCACAATTCTTCGAACATATCATGCTCTTTGCACAATCGAATGGCATTTGTGTAAGCTTTAGCGATGGTATAAAAGTGAATAGCTTGTGCTACATGATTTTTTGATTCGTAGTGGGCTGCTAGGTGATACGCAGAGGCAGCATGATTGGTCCTTGACACCAGTTCACTGACTTCATCCTCTCTACCGAAATAACAAAGTAATCTTGTCATTGCTAGAGTATTCTTGGCTTGCTCGTACAAACGTAGAGCCCCGTCCATATCTCCCGTTGATTCTATGTATTGTGCATGCCAGTTTTTTATTTCTGGATCATCAGAATTGTTCAGATACATTAACAGTTCCCTAGGCCTGACTAGTAACATTCTTGGCACCTCGAATCTATGACAGTCCGCTTTGGTATACATTTCGATAGCCTCTGTAATTTTACCTTCTTGCTCAAGAACCCTTGCATAATTATAATAATTCGTTTTCTCGCAGATTTTGTTCTCATTACCAGATACCTCTATGGCTTCCTTGAACTTATTGCGAGCTTCAAGAAGCCTTCCTAAAAGGTCCAGCCTCTTTGCTTCACGGAAGAGGTGCTCAGCGTCGTTGTACAGGCCAAGTTCCACGGCTAATATACCCACCTTCGCTTCTAAATTTAAACTGTCATCTATCATAGCTTCCTTGACAGCTCTCGCTGCTTTAGCATGCTTCATATGACCCAAACATAAAAGAGCCATGTTCAGTTGCTTTGTCTTCACGCACATTCTAGCCAGACTCTTCCAAATGCCTTCATTCTTAATAGATTTGATTGCTTTAAAAGCTTCATCCATATTCGCGATGCTGATATAAAAACTGAAATCCAATACCGCTTTCTTTGTGACTGGGTCGCATACACCCAGCTCTTCGAAGTCCCTCATGAGTAATTTTTGCACCTTGCTACTTCTATCCACAACCTTCTCAGAATTCAAAATGATTATGTGCGGAGTGTGAACGCCCAACACTCGACAGTTACCATCTTTTATCGGCTTTACGTCCTGCACTACAATACCGTGCTCTGCCGTGGCAAACAACGACACCAAGACTACAGTAGCTTTCGAAATATCAAACTCATTTTCATTGTTTTGCTTGGACGAGTGTTTAGAATCTCGTGTCTCCAGTCTTTGAGCACGACAGACTAGGAGTCTAGGATCTTCGACGTCCCAGCAGTGAGCAGTGACCAATCTTCCTCTGCACTTCACAGCTAGAGCAGTGTCATCTTCGTCAATGTCGTCGGACTCTGCGAAATCGAATTCATGTATATGATCACTTTCGATGTCCCAGACATATAAAATGGGACTAGGCATCAAATTCGTCATTGCAACTGTAATCGATATACAACGACAGTCGGAATTGCATCTGGCCTCAACGATTTCTGCGAAGTCACTGATGGCTTCGTATGTAGCCATTGCTCTGGTGTGCAGCTTTGCTTCCCGTTTACTTAAATCCCAGATTTTTAATATACCATTCAAGGATGCAACTGTGAGATACTGTCCAGTCAGATCCATGGTAATTGGTTCACCTTCCTCGGGCAATGTTGGCAGTGTCTGAGTGATTGTACCCTCCATTGATCTCAACTGTATAACTGCAGGAGTCAAAACGATCAGGGTGTGCTCGTAAACTAACAATTTCTCAGTGTCACAATTGAAATTCGTGATCCAAGTGGTAGTTACAGAACTGGCTCTCTGAATTCTATAAACAGCTATTTGTCTGCCCGAAGAGACTGCAGTGTAATCTTTATTAACAGCAACAAGTTGTACTTGAATGTCAGTTTTCAAAGTGTGAGTCATATCTTCAATTTCAATTAAAATCTGAGTGGGACTGAGTTGGCTGGCACAGACGTCGTCATTATACGCCGCACACATTGGTTGTTGGTGTAATATAAATACATTAATAATACAATTGACTGCTAGAAGCGGGCTTCTCAAGAAGGTGGCACCCCATGTAAGTTGTTTCACTATACCATGAATGCTACAAGTCTCTGGAACACTTGGCCAAGCATTTTCATCGCCGTCCATATCAGCTTTACGTTTCCAGAAATAAATTGTTCCTAAGTTTGTTCCAGCCGCTAAGGTACCTGCGAAACATTCAAGATGCATTAACTTCTGTTCCCCTTATGTTCCATATCAAATTAAATATAAATGGTACCATTCGCCTTGCAGAAAGATATGCTCGTGCAGACTTCTTGTGGAGTAGCCATGTTTCCTATGGATAACTCTGGTGGTGTTAATACATAGGTATCACCGGTATGTAGATCCCAACAACGAACACCTAACTCTCCTGTAAGAATTGCTAAGGTATTTCCACCAGCCCAACATAAGGCTGGACTTGTTTTTGATATATCACATCTATTGCTAAGTTTCACCTGAAAAACAAATCAATAATTATATAAAATGTAAAATAAAAATATCAGAGTCCTGTGTTAAGTCCGTTAAGCTTCTGACAGAGAAACTCTTACTCACTTTTGTTAATTCGGAAAGTCGTCCAGTGATGGGATCTGTCTGAAAATGCCCGACATTCAAACCGTCTGTCATAATAATAATAGAATCCCTGGTCTGATGGTGCAACAGAAACTGTAATGCAACACCACTTGTGCTAAAGACTTCTGTACACTGTCCTTGATTATCAACAAAGTAGATGACTCCGCTAGTAGTACCAATATAAAAAGCATGATTATCCCTTTGAGTTACAACAGTTGTTGGTGCAGCTGTTCTAGGACGCCAGGAACTAAACATATCCAAAGCTCTTTCATTTCCTGCAGCTTTAGCTAAGCTACTGCAAAGAATTCATATTGTTCGATCATTTCCTTATAAAAATATACATAAGTAGAATACAAACTATAGACCTCATATCAATTGTTGATTTCGGTGGAATAGTCTTAAAGACTATTTGTGCAAAAGTGTCTTTCAAATCATGATGAAACATTATTAGTAATTGACCTCTGGAATCTATTTTCCAACCAACTATAGAACCAGCTGTATCTGCAGACACTAATCTCTCGCCATGTTGACTCCATTGTAAGATATTAATGGGATCGCGATGTGGAGTCACTATTATATTGAATTCTATGCAACCAGTATCACCAGGCCATACCTAAACAACCAAATGAATTTTCAATGTTATTGCAATTAGAATTGTTTCTTCTGTGTAATTAATAAATTATTCACCCTCAACTCTCCATTTTCCCATGCTGCTGCCAGCCACCTCCTTACAGGATGCCAACCAAGAGCAGTAACCTGTGCTACAGAGTGTCTTGGTGATTCTACATCCTGAACAGGCTCTCCCTGATCATCATACAGTGTCACAAAACCACCCTTATCCTGAGAATATGCAGCAACTGCCAAGAAAGGATAATTGGTATGCCAGATTGCGTGAGTACTTATTGAAGCTGTTTCTGGATTTTGTACACGAGTATCAAAATACAGTGACATTGTTCATCAATTGTTTCAGTTTCACTGATACTGTCGGAATCTTCATACGAAAAAATTATAAATTTTGTGAAAATAAAAATACTTAAAATATTCAGGTTAAAATCTTGTAATATGAATTATAGGTATTGTATGAACAGTATTTAATTCAATATTAAGTACTTCATTCGTATAAAAGTTGTAAGTATATAAGTTTGTGTATCAAGAATATCATTGCAAAATTAAGATTATAATGTGGTGATTTTTATTAAAAAGAAGACAAACTTTCCACCTGCATTTGACAGTTCACAACTTAGTTTACGTATACGTTACCATAGCAATATGACGACACTAGTGCTCCCGCTAGTGTTCTGTCATTCACAACAATCATTTCTTTTTTTAGAAATAATTAATCATTGTCAATTATATATAAACAAATGAAATAACATAGAATATTAATTGAAAAAGACGACTAGTAATAATTACTAATTAACAACGAACATAAAAATTCTAAAATATCTATTCAGCTTAATTGTTAATAAATCTGGTTACTTTTTTTAATTATTTAATTAAAAAATTTAGTCGAAATGTGAATGGTGGCGCCATTTAGTAACAAATCCCAACACTAATTGGTAAACAGCTTGACCGTTTTATCGTAGAAAGCATTATTGGACATTACCACATCTGTGTCATGACTACTCTTTATTAATCAAAATATAATTAATACAATAATTATAAGATTTTACAAACTACAGTTTAAAGTCACTATGCTAGAAGTCTGAGTTAATGCTTCTGCATGCTAAGTACTAGGTCTTCTAGTGCTGCAATTTTCTGAAATTGTTGAAAAATGTGCCATTAAAGTTGGTATAGTAATAAAAAATAATTAACAGTAACAAGAATTTTAATTGTATAGCACCTTGAGATATTCCTGAGTCTGACATTCTGTTGTTGCTTCTGTTTCTGCCAGCAGTGTCCTGTATCTCTTCTCTAGAAGTGTAACAATGTTATCCACTTCACTTTGTTGTTTTGTAGTTAGAGACCTACAAAGTTCATTCTTTTGTTCTTGCAGTTGAAGTTGCAAACTTTTTATTTTCGAGTCCTTATTCTATGGTACACCAGGACACATATAAAGTATATGAAATATACAATTTCTTAATGATATGAGAAAGTATAATTCCATTATTTGCAATTTTTATGTAATTACCTGAATTATATGCAACATTTTCTTCTCATAATCGTAACCAAGTTTCTGTTTTGATTTTTCAAGCTTTAAAACAGTTTTGTTCAATTCAGAAACTTTGGACATCAGATTCTCATTTTGCTGCTGTATCTCATAATCTACATCACTTTTTAATTTACTGAATTCTTCCTTCATGTTTCTATACTGCTCAATTAATGTAGCCTGTAGTTTTTCTTCCTAAATATAATATTAAAATATGCATATAATAATATATTTAAAGTACATTTTGTACACCTAATCATACGTCATTATTCTTCATTTCCAGTTTCATTTCCAATTCATAAATTTTATTCGTCAATAATTCCATATCTTCTTTTCTTCCAGCATCTTTCTGTGACAGTTGAAAGTCTTTCTTCTCAAGAAGTGTTTGTTTCATCTCTAATTCTTTATTCCTTTCAAGTATAAATTTTTCAAACTGATCACGTAATGCATTCATTTTTTCCATGCATTGTTTTTCTATTTGTTTAGCTTGCTCATCCTGTAAAAACATCTGTCATATATTTTTTACTTAAAAAATAAAGGCTATGGCTCTTACCTTACCATGGATGATTTCTGCCAATTTCACATCTATTGTAACCACTCTATTATCAAAGCTCTCATTCATTACTCGAACTTCATCTAGTTCGTCCTTTAACGCACTACACTGTTTTACAACTGTAGAGTGATACTGTTGAATAACTTCTCTATAATTTTCCTCCCGAGAATTCTTCATCTTCTGCATCTCTAATAGCCTTCAATAGTCATTAAAAATTAAAACCTCATTGCTTCTTTCAAATAACATTTAAGAAAATACTAACTTAGCTTTTAACATAATGACATCAGAAGTTAATTGACTGATACTTGTATAAAAATTCTTATCCACATTATTACTACAGTGTTCAGAGTATTCTAACAATTGTTTCTTGAGATATTCGTTTTGTGTCTGCAGTTCTCCAATAATAGTATTCAGTGTACTTATACGCTGTTCATAAATTTTTAGTTGGTTTTTCTTTATTTCATTGTAATTATAACAATGAACAGTTGATGTTATATTTGGAGAATCCAAGAAGTGGCTGATACTAGTATTATCCAGTGCACGGTGTTTTATTAATGATTTACTTTTCTGGTAGTGACTAGATTTTGTTCTATCTTTTAAACAACTACGGACTGGCCTTACAGCACATGCTGATTGATCACTGTGAGATGAACTAATACAGACCTATATTACACGTTCATAATTTTATTATCGTGGTATTATTACAGCCCGACTTCTTACATCAGTTACTATTGTTGATGTTTTCAAGTGTAAGCTATGTTCTTTCGAGAAAAATATATCAATATTTCACTAGCAATACAGCTACCTTCATCAAAAATTGAGCGACACACTGATACAAAAGCTCAACAATAATAACTGCATACAAATAAATACTATTATAGGTACCATATGATACGACTTAGGGAGCGGTAGAAGCTCCTTAGGTGGAATTGAACTAAAAATTCCTTCAATACGACCTGTTCTTAATTGTCTACATAATTCTAGAAGATATTCATTTCTCAGGCGACGCTGTGAGGTCGCATTATTTAATTTGTCAAGCCAAACCTTGCATAATTCTGCAGTTTCAGCGGACGTCAGTTCTAATATATAGGACCTAACGCGTATTAAGGTCTCTTTAAAAGTTTCGTCCAATTTTAAAGTTTCTTGATCATTGTACTCTTTACTTTTTGGCATGATACTTATTCGATTCGTTTAAAGTACGATATAATTTGAAATAAATTAAAAGAGGCATCTTTAATAGGTTCTTGACTTTCAACACACCACTGCTTTTGTTTTTCTGTCAACTCAATGACTACAAGACGGCCGTGAGTTGTAAAGAAAGAGGCAAAAACTGAACGCGTATATTCAAATTTATTATTTCTATCATTACGTTTCTCTATATTTCGTTTATGTTCAAGGTTTTTCCTAATTTTTACAGATAATCTAACGTGTTACATCAATAAATAGAGTTTGAATACAGCTACTAGATTAGTCGATAAATAGATTGATAAAAAAGACTCCATGAAGATTAATAGACTTTCCAGAAATTCTTTGCAGAGGTATATCTAGGAATAGAAAAAACACTTGCGCATACTACGTGTGTAAGAAATGCAGATAGGAGCAAGTATTGTAAGCACAATACTAATAATTATGGTCAATGAGCTTAATTATTGGGTTGAATCGTGCGCAACTACAGCCCATATATAGAGAGAAATTACTTTTCTGAAAATAATCGCATGACTCGTATAAAGTAACAAATAGATTCTTTACTATATGGTAATGTTAACTGCAAATTACTTATTTAGAACGAACTAAATTTAAAGATAAACCAACGACTGTTATTAATGATTCAACCCAATACATTAGGATTAATCCTTTCATAGCCAAGTATCACAGAACAGCTCACAAACTGTGCTGAACAGCACACGAATTCTTCCACTCCTAAGCCAAGTATTAAAATAATCGTTCATTCTTTTATAAAATTAGCTTCTTTTACAATATAACTTCTTTTAAATCTATCTTTTACTTTATCTACACTACCTACAAGATAAAATTGTACAATTTATTTGATTCTTTTCGTATTTTGTTCATTAGCCGATCGTTTCGTGTTCGTTACCTGTATCAGAGTTGGTCATTGAGATCTAGAGCAGATACTTTGAGAAATACTTGTTAAAACACTAGATACGACTATTCAATTTTATTTGATTTTCTGCGGTTTGTTTTAACTCAACGAGTTTCTCTTTCATGGGTTGGATATGTGTGCCTATCCATTCGTCGACCATCGTAGAGAAAAAAATGCTTTCCATTTGAAACCTCAAGTAACCTTCTAAGGAAGATAATTCTAATAATAATCTGTAACAGACATTCATCGAATTATATAATGTTTGTTAAAACTATCATAGACAATAATCATAGTACATACTCTGTGAAAGCAGGTACTAAATTCTCTAACTGCATTGGATTTGTATAATTATTTGCCACTTGCCATGGATTCATCCATGTCGATATTCTGTAATATTATAATTGTAAACTACTAAAACTGATGTCGCATTTACAACATCCAAATTCCAACTTACTGTTCACTGCTAACAATATTATGATATTTAGCTTTGAAGTTTAAAAACCACTCTACACCTACTGCAACCTGCCACCCAGGGAAGAGCAAATTACTGGGTATTGGAGCAGGTCTTGGCTGTGGTGTTATATGCAAAGGATGATCTATATATCCTAAGCTTTTAGTCACTTGATTGTGCACTTGTTCAGAGTAACCATGGAGCCAAACTTTTAAACACAATGCTAGGGATGGTATTGATGTAGGTAATAATTCACACAATGTTGCATAATGATCATACCTGAAATTAAAATTGAATAGAAGTAACTGTCTGAATACAACTCGTGCAAGAATTACCTCGACCAGCCAGTAAAAGCTGTCCCTCGAAATACGCGAACTTTATTCACATGTGTGCTTAATTCTTCCTGCCACTTTTCATGATTACTTATATGATGCCTTATTACTGGTACATGTTGCGAAGACCCGGTGGCACCTTTAAATGCAGTGGCTGCCCAGACATTTGGAAAAACTGCAGTATACTTATCCCACAGTCCTAAGAAACAATTGTTAATTTTTATATTCAAAGTGAATATTTTACACTAACATCTTACCATAAGGTAAAGCAAAATTATCCCTAGCATTGTAGTGCCAAATCATGGGCTCTACATATTTTCCAATATAGTGGTCTGCAAATAATAAAAGATACTTTTATGAAACGTGCAACACGTATTAACACGAATAACTTGTAATAAATCAATGAATACCATTCAAAACCTGTAAATCTATTGATCTTAGCATATCATCCCATATGATAATCTTCAAGTAGGGATATGTTTCGTGCACATATTGTGCAACAGCCAGGATGTGTTCCAGGTACAGAGATGGCTTTCCATATTTACTAGACGCAGCACGTTTTGTACACACTGAGCAAAGGCCTAGATGCCAGACTTCATCTGCACCTATATGTAAATACTGTATGTCCGGATGAAAACTAACTATCTGCCTGATCAAGGACTCGATCATAGGCAGTGTCCTTGGATTAGAGGGACATATTGAGCTTGGAAAATGTTCCACCTCTCTTAAGGATTTCCATTCATTGTGCTTCAGAATAAACTGCAATTAGTTTCATATTAATACCTATACTATTGCATCTTAACTCGAGTATACAACAATGATGATTTTCACCTCCATGTGTCCGAATGTTTGTACTAAAGGAACAATTGCTAAACCACAGTCTCCAGCTATCTGTAAGATGTGTTTAGCCTCCTGAGCCGTGTACCCAGTGGTAAAAGTACTTAATCCATTGCTTCCTATATGAAAAAGCTCTCGATTGTATGGAAATGTATCTTCCCATTCCAGAAGAATACCAGTAGCACCCCATGTTCTCAAAAGAGGAAATAGCTACAATATTATTAATTATTATTAATTGATTTTTATGACGCATATGAATTCATCCTAAACATAAGATAACAGTTGATCTTCGTAAACAAAAAAAGGTAAACTTAGGAACAATGAAAAAAAAGTCATTGTAAATAATCATGATTCGATGACACTGCTGTTATGCAGGTAAAGGATACAGTGTGTAAACAATGCAGTCGTTCAGTGCGACTACACACCTTTTCGAAGTAACAAACTCGTGGAGGAGCACCTTTCAAATCTAAATGCACCAGCCTAGAAAACAAAGAACATTTTTCTGTGACGTGACATTCCTTCGATTGAGAGCTGTTAAAAAAATTCTACGAACGAATTGCACGTTTACCTGTGCAATCCAAACGTCAAGTCGTCCATCTTTTCTCCATTACTACAACGTTAATTAAAGGGTATACAGTATCGAGTCACTGTAAACATTTAACTTTTAAAATATTTCTACAAATATTTTTTTATCTTATATTAAATTCAAAAACTTCTATCATTCTCGTCGTAAAATTATTCCACGACTTCAAAAATGAGCGGGTCAAGATTTAAATTTAAACTCAAATAATCGTCACGATTTTTATAAAAAAGATACAGAAACATATTCCTATAGATAGAACGCCAATAAAGAATTTACGAAATTGCATTTTTTGTAAGTAATTGCATCATATTTGATAATTGATTATCGGTGTAGAATTAGATAAAAATCAACATGACAAGTCTCGATAAGGTATATCAAGGGGAAGGATAAGTCAGACTGTTTTTCCACGAAATATAACTTTATTTTTGTATATATTTACTTCAGCCTTATATAAAACGTTACAACTGTATGCGCAACATTAATTCTCAGATATACAGTGTTACTGGTCACGTCACAATAGTACATTTTGAGAATGGGCGCACAGGTGCAGTTTTAATGCATACGATCGATGAGTACATCGCACAATAACAATCTTTAGGACATCTATGTATTTTTCTCTTTATAATTTTCTTGCGTCTTGTTTCACAAATTTACATCATCTTATCTTTCCTTAGAATAATTATACGTAGAAGTCTCTTGATAGGATCTTTACACTGACAAAAATGGTACATTTTCGTTCTTTAGGATCCACCCTCAAATATCGAGTATCGATAAATAATCCACTGCGTTTTTAATAAGTTAGCAATATAGTTTAAAAACCAATTATCTTCGTGATCATTCACTTGCTATAAAAGGACAGTGTATTATAACGACGATGAATATTGTAGCATATAATTTTAATTTCCATAAAAATAAATGGTGGATTACTCATGTGTACACCTAATAGAAACCCATTGCATAGGGCGAAACAATAAAGTGATAAAGCAGAATGTTGAGAACTAAAAGCGTAATCAGTTGGCACTTTCTGTAGGATCCGGTATATGGGAACCAAAGATTATAAATTATGCGAATTACATATCTTTTTTCATCCTTCCGTTTGCCACTAAATTCTGAATTATTAAGAAAATAGGTGAAACGGACAACCAGAGAAAAAAATATGTCAAACGGTGATCTTTTATTATACACAGTCACACGAAATAATTCGCCTCGTTCGGATAATATGATTGACTATCCTTTTCTTTCGCTATATGTTACTTCGTTTGTACAAAATTGATCCACCGAAGGATGGCTGACACGTCGAATCAAATTGTTGTAATGATACCGTTTCAGCAACCTACAACTTAGTCGTGTTTAATTTCTTACGGACAGGTGAAACACATGATAAAAAAAGGTTCTTAATCGTGTGGTCCATCCTTGGCGTCTCATGTATACAAGTGTCAGGGCAGGAATATAATAACAGTCAGCGATATACAAAAATGTGATCGGTCGTTTAAAAAAAATTGAGCTAATCTTAAAAACTACACTTATGTTATTTTAGGACACGAAGAACAGGGAAATCGATCGCCATGTGCGCCAGCCTAGATTTTGTAAAACCCAAAATAAAAGGTGGAAAAGAATGAAAGAAATATTACAGCGAACACGATCTCTTTACATCTTTAACGCTCTTCAGAATGTTCACAATTAAAAGTTTCGAACATCACGACAAACATTTATGCTAACAGAACGACGTTCAGTCGATCTTGACTAATTTTTTTTTGTTTGTTTCATAACAATGATTAGTTTCTAGTTTTATCTGCTCAATCTCACGATCAAAGCGTAATAGCAGAGTCGTTCATTAATTCACTCCACGAAATTCAAATGTATCTTCGTCTATTTTTTTTCATCAATATATGGTTTCAGACGGGAGTCTGAAATTCTTTTTGTCTGAGGCCTTCACATGTGGTTTTTTTTTGTTCGTATATCTTTCTGTCGCACAGATGATGCACGTCCGACTGATAAGTAAACTTGTGTAAGTCGGATAAAATTTATGAGACAGTTTCCACAACGGAATTAGCTATTCGTACACGTATGTTTTTTTTCTTAGGATGCTAAAAGACTTAAATCTATCGCCCATGTTTCGTCGTGATAAATAAATTAATTACATGATCTAACGTTTACACCTTGGTGTTTCGACCGTACTCCAAAATTTGTTTATGATAAAAAAGAAGATACCTGAAAAGGAAAGGTTTTTTCACTGGATCCTTGGTAATAATACTAACTGCAGACTGTTGGTCAGTGCCGCGGACTCACCCCTCGCTAGTTAAGACGTCTTTTAATCTTGCCCTCGTGATCAAATGATCGTCACATTTAAACCATTGATCTCGTTGCTGCCGTATAAAGGCAGTATAGTGTCCAGTCTCCAAGGAACCTTCATGATTTATTACCGCGAACAACGAGTATCTGTTGTCGCTGAACGCGACGTCTTCTCCGTTCTTTGGCAGCCCGTCCATCATCGAGCTGTTGTTATTACCGTTCCGCCTGTGCGACATAAAGGGCGTCATGTCCAACTGTTCTGGAAACGAGATGAACGTAGAGATCTTCTTGTCCTGAATACTAGAGTGCTCGAATCGTTTTAAGTGAAAACTGGCCACGATAGGGAGTTGTTTCATCGTCAATTGTTTGGTGCTCTCTTGGTAAGTCTGGCAATTGCTACATTTAATTTTCGCGCTAGATCCCAAGTGCTCTGCACGCGTGAATCTTTCCAGACAATCTAACAATGAGGTAGGAGGACCAGAACTGTCAGAACCCGACGCACTAGCTGCTGGACCCAGATCCAGTGATATATCCCAAAACGGGTCTATCGTCGTTGAGACTCCGCTAAAAAGTAATTGTATTAGTAGAGGTTTCATTATATTATGTACGGCAAAGGGTATAAAATTTAAATGTGTCACAGTTAAGACTCCCGTTCAATTTTTTAGATATCTGGCTCTAACACATCTAGTTTTATGCCCTGTATTTTGTAGTGGATTCTATGTCGTACTTGCACGCCTGACAAACCACGTCGCTCTGTAGCCCACCGGTAAAGATTTGATCGATGATACAATTACAATGATGCGGATTATCTTTTACTAAAATCGGCGCTGCCTCGCAATGCCTATGCAAGACGTCGAGTGTAGCTATAAAGAACTCGTGGGCATCCTGCTGTTCGTAACCTGCTAAATGTCTTGCGTGTGTCCATATCAAATGGAGAAGTTTGTGAAGGGTCAATGGTGCTTTGCTGCCAGAATAAAATTCCTGAAAAAGATGGGACACTTCGCAAACCAGACAGCGACTGGGCTGTGGGCAGTGGTGACGGTCAGCAAGAAAATAATCTCTTAACAGTGGTGTGTGGATGAGTGCCTGTACAATGCAGTTCATGAAACATGTACTTCCAAGATTTATAAGTCCTCTTAGACCTGAAAATTGACATGGATGTTAAAGTACATTTAATTTACATTGAAATTCATTGTTTTCAAGTAATTGTTACCTATAGTGGAATTTTCTACGACACGCCTTCTGCGTGGATGCTTTCTTAATAAGTCTGCCTCTATTTGTGTGGGTTCCCATGCTCGATAAAATTCTCCAAAGCTTAGCGATTTTGCTGACTCACTCCACTGTGACTTGGCAACTGCCAATAATTCTCTATCGTATACATAATCTCCACATTGGAAGCACAGAATATTTCCATAAGAAAGATCAACAGCTGCAACATAAGATTTATGTAGGAAATACATCTGTAAATTATCATTACTATGTTTCATATGTAGTTACCTAAAAAATGTTTTTTTGTCTTTGCATGTTCCTGTATATGACCTTTTACATAGCAACCAAAGAATATGCAGTGAAGACAAGAATGAAGGCGGTCTTTGTATGTTTTACATGTGTGACACAAGCAGCTTACAGCCTAAAAAACACAGCAATCGTTTATTTACAGTTTACCATAAAAAAAAGTTAAAAATATTGTACAAACAAAAAAGTATTATACAGATTAGATAAAAGTATTGTTCGAGGTAAGCTCAGGGATATTCATGTGCATATAACACATGAAGTATGAGTTTATTTAATACAATTCCATTATTCCATAATGATGTAAGGCGCTGTAAAATATTCATCAGAGAAACGGTACCAGCAGAATCATAAGTCTGCTATACCGTTACTTTATGCGAGCAACAAATCAGCCAGAACTTTGTACCGGCAGAGTAATCGCGTACAGCGGCCATTTTTAAATCCGTCTTTACACACGAGCCGTCCATGAAAGTAACAGTACAGACCAAAGAAATAAATTACATTGTTCACGATGTTTTCATTAACTGCGCAACGTGCTTTTTCTTCGTGAAAGTATTTCTGTTCCAAAGTCATTCTGGAACAGGTACTAATGCGCATATTTAAATAACATTTTGGATGATTTCATGTACAAGATTTTTGATACAAAATGAGAAGGTAACTGAAAGAATAAAAAAATAATAGGAAAAATGACCAGCACGAGAATGTGTAAACAGGAATTTTCAAAATGTTCCCAAACAATACGGTTAATCGTTAAAATCAACTGTTATTTTAAACAGAAATATAAGACATAAGGAGACGAGTTTTAAAGGACATCCTACTTCTTTAATATCAACGATTTATAAGAAACAATAAAACGGTTGCAAAGGTGTGATATCGCTGGCACCCAAAATTCTGTAAACAATGCTCATGTGTTAGCGGATTGGGTTGTCATTCTAGTTAGTATTTGCACGGCCCATGACTCAAGATCGCGAGTGGGGCCACAGAACGACAAAGAAAGAAAATGATCTTGCGACTTGCAAGATTGCTAAAGTCCTCGTTACCGCAATGATTTTACATTTTACCGAATTACAGTTTTTATCGTTTGGCCGACGCACACGATCCCGTTCTGAAGCTGCCGAAACAACGACAAAAGAAACCAATAGAGAAAGACAGGTGGGACGAGGAAACGTCGGGTATAAAATACGCGTAGAGTGAGATGGAGCATATACAGACG